CCAATGTAAGCGAATAGTGTCGGGTTGGTCGGCACACAAGCTGACCAAATCCTGCACTGGCTTGGCCATAGCCGTGAAACGTGGAATAAAAGAACGGTAATAGCCAACCAGTCCCATAAACCGCCTCACATCACGAACTGTCTCAGGTAGTGGCCATTCCATTATACAACGGACACGGTCAGGATCGGGACGCATACCAAACTTGTCATAAATATGGCCCAAGTAGGATATCTCCTCCATGGCAAAGTCACATTTAGTAGCACCCAAAGTTACCTTAGCAACGGACAACCTCTCGAAGACCACACGAAGGTGCCGAACATGAGTCTCCATGTCCGGAGAGAAAATCAAAATATCATCAAGATAGATCTTGACGAATGGTAGGTCGCCCAGGATGTCCTCCATGAGTTTCTGGAAACTAGCAGGAGCATCGTGTAGACCAAACGGCATACGCAAAAACTCATAGAGGGGAAAACCATTCCCCGGACAGAAAGCGGTCTTCGGGATATCAGCGGCAGAGACGGGTACTTGCCAGTAACCAGACTTCAGGTCCAGAGATGTAAAGAAACGGGCACCCTTCAAGTCATCCTGCACAAAGTCAGGTCGAGGAAGGGGGTAAGCGGACATGTGGGACCGACGATTTAGTTCACGATAGTCCACGCAGATACGGACACCACCAGTCTTCTTCTTAACGTAGACACAAGGTGAACGCCACGGACTCATACTTGGCCGAATAATCCCTTCTCTCAGCATATCATCAATCTGGCCTCGTATATCAGCTTGCCACTTATGAGGTACACGTCTCGGACGCTGAGCCATCGGCTGCTCATCGAAGGTCTTTATATCATGAGTGACCAACGGACAAAACCCGATCTTGTTGTTGAACAACTCCGAGAACTCGTTACAAAGATCTTGAATAGGGCAAAGTTCGGGACGGTCAGATACCGGTAACTTGGGCAATACAACGTCAGGTTCCTCAGGGCCGGGTAGTAGTGGGACCGCATAATCGTCCAAATTACCACCTATGTCATCATTCTCGAACTCGTCGTAGATCTCTTGATCTTCTGCAGGCCATTGTTCGAAACCAGTATGTCCGCCCTTCTTAGGGTCATCATAAAACTCATACGGATCAGGGGGTTGTAGTAGACAGATAGGAGCCCCAGCATCAGCGAAAACCCTACGCTGAGCCAGGGAAGGACTTTCGTCACCATCACCATCACCAAAACCAAGGTGAGAATAGACATCATCAGAGTACCGACAAAGGGAGTATAGAGAACTAGCTCCATTACCAATCACAACATCAGGCGGACTTTCACAAGTTCTGGCACAACGGGCGAGGCTCTTGGGGACAGTCTCCGAAGAACTTGTGCTAGATGTGGATGGTACCGTCTGAACAGACTCATCAATCATACCAGTAGTCTGGGTAGAAGCATTACGGGTACATACACCCTGTGCTTCACTAGGGCAGATAGTCGAAGGGACGGGTAGTACACCCGCAGAACCAGTTGCTCCAAGTAGAGCGAAGGGCAACGACACACTCACACTCCTTGCATCAGGTTCCGGTAGAGGTTCACGATACCGACCCACCAGAGGGTCGCGAGTACCAACCAAACGGACATAACCTTCAACCATCTGTAAGGACAAACCATAATGCCAAAGGAAGTCGAAGCCCAACAACATATCACAAATTAAATCTTCTACCACATAAACCTTAAATTCAAAACTTACACAGTTACTACCGGCCCGCG